GGGGGGGGGGGGGGTTTGGTATAAGTTGGGTGTATCAAACAACCTAGAAAATCCAAGCAAAACATAAAACTGATCAAACCCTTTACAGCAATCAAAATCAAGATCAAGTAAAATGGTTAAAGCAAATGATAATCCCGGTCGCAAAATCCCCATCTTTATGTGTATGCACAAACAACGACGACTAATAGATGTATGCGTATCAAACAAGCTATCGACCATATTTCTATAAGAACAGAAATTTCCCCAAGTAAAAACGAACTGGAACTTTCATAAAACATCATAAATAGCATCACAAGAACCCAAAAACATTTAAGAAAATTCAATTCAGAAACAGATAAAAGGATTTCCCAGAAAAAAAAGGAATTTCCAGACCATCATAAATAGCATCTAAAACACGAAAACACAAAAATTCAACAAAATAAATTGGCACAAAGAGAACGAACATTAAGAAAATAAAATTCAGAAGAAGAGATTATAATTTACATACCTTTGCGATGGAACCCATTTTTTGTTATTGCTTCTGAATTTCGGAGCGTTACGGAATCAAATGTGAGAATTGCAGAGGAAAATTATAGAACCCTCCTTAAATCTGAGTCTCACGTTTTTCTCAAGTGTTTTATCTTATACCGGCACGTACTCATTTGTTAAAAGACTAAATTAACCTTTGTGTTTTCACGCTGAAAATCTGTGTTCTGTCCAGGTTAAACGAATTCACTGTTTTGAGGTTAGTTGAAGTGAGGGTGTTTTTTGTCATTTATGGATGAAAATGGTAGGTGGGAATGGGATGTGGGAAACGCATACTCGCCAATTTTACCAGTATCATGTTCTTCTTTTTTAATTTTTTATAACATCACATAGACGTTCAATATAAAAAAATAAAAGAAAATTATATATATATATATATATATATATATATATATATATTATATGTATATTTTCATCTGGTATTCTATCCGAGCACACATTAAAAGTTAATCTTATGGAGTGTGTGCATCGAATTATATTACTTTATCATTAATTATATAATAATAAACTAACAACAACAACAACAAAAAACCCAGTTTGGTCCCAACAAGTGGGGTCTGGGGAGGGTGGTCTGTACGCAGACCTTACCCCTCCCTAATGCAGGTATAGAGACTATTTTCAATAGACCCTCGGCTCAGGAAGGGCAAGAAGAAGAAAAGGAAAGCAAGGGAGGAAGAAAGATGGAAGATAAATGAAAAAAAAAAAAGATACAGGATAAGTGGTACCAAATATTAGCAACAGGGAATACAATACCTGAGGCGAACAAAACCACATAACATAATAAAAGTCTAAGAATATGAAGGGACATGCATACTACTAAGACTATCGGTGAGCAACTATAAACTACCTACTAACCTTCTACCTTAATCCTCGACCTCCACACTCTCCTATCAAGGGTCATGTCCTCAGTGAGCTGAAGCAGCGTCATGTCCTGCCTAATCACTTCTCCCCAATACTTCTTAGGCCTACCTCGACCTCTTCTCAAACTCTCAATGGCCAACCTCTCACACCTCCTAACTGGAGCATCAATGCTTCTTCTCTTAACATGGCCGAACCATCTCAGCCTCGACTCCCGCATCTTGTCCTCCACGGAGGCTACTCCCACTCTGTCCCGGATATCTTCATTCCTAATCCTATCTCTCCTGGTACACCCACACATCCATCTCAACATCCTCATCTCTGCTACTCTCATCTTCTGCACGTGGGAGTTCTTGACTGGCCAACACTCAGCCCCATACAGCATAGCCGGTCGAACCACCACTCTATAAAACTTACCCTTAAGTCTTAGCGGCACATTCCTATCACACAAAACACCGGAAGCGAGCCTCCACTTCATCCATCCCGCTCCAATGCGATGCGCGACATCTTCGTCAATCTCCCCGTTACCCTGGATAATAGACCCGAGGTACTTAAAACTCGCTCTCTTGGGGATAACTTGAGCATCAAGCTTAACCTCTACGTCTGCACCATGGGATAAGTGTTTAGTGATAATTACATTTGTAAAAACTTATATTATATATTTATTAAATTAATATAAACACTCCATGGGATAAGTGTTTATCAAGCATACCCCTTGAACCAAAATTGCGTCGTGTATGATTAATTAGCGTGCACACAAGCGGTTTTAAGTCGTGAAATGAAGTTGCTATTCTTCTTTATTTTAATGACAATGATACTAAAGTCTGTTGTGTGCAGTTGATTAACTAATCGGTCAATCTATTAAAACACATAAAGCTGACTATCAAAACTGATTGCTTGAGTAAAATTGTATGGAAAAAAAAGACTGATTGCTTGAACAAAGACAACTAACAATAAAGGGATGAAAGCTGAACTTCGAAAACTTCTCTCTAGAATGAATCCACAATCCAATGAATCTTCAAACACAATGCCGCCCAAACCACCCATATTGATCAATCAAAACCAAAATAGTATGGCGTGGAGAACAAAGCGTCTTTTAGGAATATGCTAATAATCAAACTTGAGCCAATCCAACGTCGAGCTGCCAGAAACTCTCTCAGAAGAAGAAACGTTTGAGCAATTAATGAAGTCTACCACACGAGGCATTAAAATGATTACACTTACAGAGGAGGATAGGCAAAGAATTTTGTTTACCTCGAAAAACGTAAGTAAGAATTAAAGATATTTATGATTTTAAAGATACGTGATATATTCTAATACTAGTGATTATACAAATAATATTGAGCTTAAGTAAGAAGAAATAAAGAACCGAATAAGTGTTGTTAGAACAATAGGGGGCCTCGAGCTCGACTTATCCAGGGACCTCGAGGTCAGCTTAGAGTAATAAAGTATGAACAATAAAGTAAAGGCAATAAAGCTGAAGAATATTTTGAGAGCACGTTGAACAAGAAGAATAAGAATGTTCTATTGCAATGAATGATCTGATCTTTACAAAAATGATTGGGGTCTCCTTTATATAGGAGGAGAAAACCCTAACATAGCACCTTGCTCATAAAGGTAAAGAATTCTATTGGTACAGGTGTATAACAGCCTAATACCGATCTGTACCATTTCGTAGAGCTATTATCGTATAATTAATGCCCAGGTCCACGTGTTCTTGAGAAATTCCCACTCTTTCTTGATTAACTTCGAGGTAATGCAACCCTCGATGCAGTCCGTGCCAGGCACTCGATCAGCTTCCTCGAGGTAGGTGTCCCTTGGCCAGATGTGACACCCACTTCGAATCTCCCGGAGTCGAGCCTATAGCCCGATTTAAGACTTTAAAATTGTGCTCCTTGATTTTGACCGCATACAGATAGTCCTCACGTTTCTTAAAATAGAATGACATGAAACGACTTCGACCTCGATTTTCTTGAACCTCTTGCGATGACGTCATGCTCATGACGTAGGCGTTTGAAGTGATCGAAACATCCCGTCGGTTCATTCCCCCAGAAGCATTGAATGCACCGCCGGTCCGTTTCCCCAAAAATATTGAATGTGCCGTTAGTTTCGTCGTCATTTTTCTATAAATAAGGGATTACTTGAAAAAAACTACATCCATTCTTTCTTCAACAACTTTTAGCCCACTCTCTTCTCCGTTTCCTCTTCAAATTACCTATTTTTATGGTTCAAACCTGTGACCACAAGGTCATACGGCAACAACTTTGTCAGTTATGTCATGGCTCTTTTTCAAAGCTTTTCCCTACTAAGTAAGATTATACTGAGTTGTTGTAGTTGTTGGCTCGAAACAATGAGAGAAGGGCACCCAGTTCTTGCCGTATCAGAAGATATGTGGACTCACACCGCTGCTCATCTCTCTTAACTTCAACCTGTTGTGGCGCTTCATTCCTTTTGCTTTATATGGAATGAGGTGGCACTATCATCTACTAACTTTTGCATCCCAGACCGGTACAATGTCTCAAGAAGTGGCTTCACAATAGTAGTGTTGACAAGACCCATACTCGCCAAGTTTTTCACCAGGCCACAATTTTCTTCGCTTGTTAAAAGTTTTTGCTCTTTGATAGGCTATATCCTTTTCTTCATCTATTGCTGTTTCGGAGGAGGTTCCCGAAGGCGCCGCTTTAAAGATCGAAATGGAGTCCCCGAGGAAAAGGTTCTCGAAGATGTCGCTCTTGAGGATATACCCCCGAAAGTAGATTAGGCCTTTGGCTGTTGTTTTTGCTTCTTTGTTTCTGTGTAAGGGCCCCTCGTGGGCTTTGTAAAAATCTTTTGTTAATATGAGAATTTCTCCATTCTGTCTTCGATTCGTGTTGAATTCCATTCTGCCTTCATTTGCAAAAAATCCAAGTGTATAATTATAACGATTTAGTCCGAATGCTGGGCCCGGGACATAATAAACCCTTAGGTTTTTAATTGACTAATATAATACTTCTTAAAGTTCTTCGTTAACCCTCGGACTAAGCTTGGATTGATTTGATGCAAACTTAGGTCACCGGGAATTCTGAGTCCTAGTTGAGTGAGAGCAGGGTCTCGATTTTTGGCATAAAGCTAGCCTTTTTAGGCTTTATTGATAGTCCTTGAGTGAGGATTTTCTCAAACTCGGGTAACCTTTGGGCTTAGCAATCGGGTGACCATTTGCTCGATCTTCGAAATAGAGATAGACCTTACGCTTTACGGATAGTCCCCGGGTGAGAATCTGCTCGAACTCACGGCTTTGATCTTTTAGCCGATATTGAAGCAGAGAAGTTTTTAGAAGAAGAGGCGGCCGCTCTACTTTCCGAAGAGGATGACTCAGCCAGTGCCTTCGAGGGCGAAGGAGACGGGGATGAAGCTGCCGAGGATGAGACTCCCCGAGATGCAACTCCTGAAGATGCGGCTGCCAAGGATGTGACCCCGAATTAGTTTTAGGTTACTCCATTTTGCTTTCTTGTAGACCTCCATTGTCTAAATATTCCCTGTAATCATCTTTTGGAAATACAAGGGGAACTTTTGTCTTGTATTTGGTCTGAGCTGGATTTAACATTGTCTTTATTTATGGAAGACTTTGTTTGGATGACCAATCCGAAGATTGGTTTTTAGGGTCGTAGCCTTTATATGACCGTAGCCTTTATATGACCGTATTCTTTATTTGGCTGTAGCCTTTGGGTATGTCGCTAGGACTTGTTACCCGATAACTTTCCGAACTTGTTCGAGAAGTTAAACTCTGAGAATATCGGCCTTAGCCTTTGTTTCGAAGGGATGCCTCTTTGAGGAGTTTATTAATTCAAATTTTGATAGTAGTCCCCGAGTATTCGGGGTGTTTCTATGTCTTGGATTTTAAGCCGTTTCCCGTGGGATTGTAAGTGTAGAAATTGTATGAGACACAAAGTATTTTAGATACATCCTGAATGTTTTTTCAAATAATCGATACATGCGTACATGTTCTGCTGCCGGGGCTCGACTATTCTATATGGACACGGCTCGTTTGACCGTTTGGCCCATTACAAAGTTTTCCTATCGAGGCCTATTTAGGCATGAAATATTTTTCTCAAAAATATAACCTCCGAGGGTGATGACCCCCAGTATTCGAGGTTGATTGAAAAGAAGCCTTGAATACTTGTTAGTCGTTCCTCGGGTAGCATATAGGTGTTGCCTCGTTAAAAACCTTGACGATAAA